CGGTTGTGGGGCTTGAACTCTGGGCCTGGGTGCTGTCCCTGAGCTCTTCAGCTCAAGGCCAGTGTTCCACCACTTGAGCCATAGCACCACTTCCTGATTCTTTTTATTCTTTTGCTTAAAATATCTGGTCATCTCAAGACGGTAAATTGAGTTAACCTCTTAATATCTGGTGTACTAATGCGCCTAATACCCTTTAAATCTAGTAACTGTCTATAACAATGAAGCTGCTTCTATGATTCCTCCTTTCCACTCTCTTTTGCATTCCTTTTTTTCTTTTTTAAGACAGAGTCTCAATACATAGATCAAGGTGGCCTGGAGCTCATTATTTTCCTCCCATGTTCTGGAATTACAGACATGTGCCACCTCATTTGGTTATAATTTTTCTACTTTACATTAATCCTTCACCCTCATCGTTATTTTCCTTTAGAAAGATTGTATGTGTGTGTGCATGTGTGTGCACACACATATGCATGCATTTGTGCTTTTGTCTTGTGTGTGAGGGCAAGGGGATGCTGGAAACTGAATCCAAGGCCTTTCGCATCCTAAACATACACTCTGCCTCTGAGCTATACCAACAGCCTCTACATATTTTCAAATGCTCACTGTCAGCTAGGTGCCAGTGGCTCACGCCTATAATCCTAGCTACCCAGAAGGCAGAGATCTGAGGATGGCAGTTCGAAGCGGGCCTGGACAGAGAAGTCCCTGTGAGACTCTTATCTCCAGTTAACCACTCAAAAACTGGAATTGGTGCTGTAGCTCAAGTGGTAGAGCACTAGCTTTGAGCACAAAGAGGCTCAGGGACAGTGCCCAGGCCCTACACTGACAAAAAAGTGCTGAATGTCAGTCATTTTGCTGACATTGATTAGATGAAGGTCATGCGTTAGTAGATTTCTCAGGAAGGGCTAATGAGTTCTGAATTCCCTACATTCTTGTTTGTCTAAAACTGTTTTCTCTGTTGCTGTGATATTTAAGGGATATGTTGGCAGATATAAAATCCTTAATTCACACTCCCTTTCATTGAGGCTTTTAAAGATGTTGCTTTATTTTTCACCTTGTTTTATATTTAGGCTTTGAAAACCCTGATGCTGGTCTAATTGTTTTTCTTTTGCAGTGCTAGAGATACATGGCAAGCACTCTACCATTGAACTACCTTCCAGCCCAGGTGCAATTCTTTTGGATTTATAAGTTATTCTTTTGCCTGAAAGTCTTGATAATTTTTTGTTTTGTTTTGTTTTGTTTTTTGGGGGTCCGGTTGTGAGGCCTGAACTCTGGGCCTGGGTGCTGTCCCTCAGCTCTTCAGCTCAAGGATAGCGCACTACCACTTGAGCCACAGCGCCTCTTCCGGCTTTTTCTCTTATGTGGTGCTAGGGAATCGAACCCAGGACCTCATGCATGCAAGGCAAGCGCTCTACCACTGAGCCACCTTCCCAGCCCAAGTCTTGATAATTTTATCCTTACCTTTGAATTTAAGTAATTTTTGCTAGGTTGTATTAGAGATGAGATTGATGTAAGTTTTTTTTGGGGGGGGGTAACTGGTATAGATGTGTAGATTCAGTTATTTCATTTCTGAAAGTTTTTTTTTGATGTGAGAATTGAATGCAGGACATTGCATATTCTGTGCAAACACTCTACCAATGAGTGACATCCATATTTATAGTTCTTGATTTTCTTGAATTATAGCTTTAAATATGAGTTTAGTTTCATTGTTGGTTTTTTTGTTTGGTCGTCATGGGGCTTTAACTCTGGGCCTGGGCTATGTCCCTCAGCTCTTAAGAGCAAGGCAAGCACTCTGTCACTTGAGCCACAGCGCCACTTCTGTTTTTCTGGTGTTTAATTGGAGATAAGAGACTCACGGAGTTTCCTGCCAGGATTGGCTTTGAACTGTGATCCTTAGGTCTCAACTTCCTGAGTAGCTAGGATGACAGGCATGAGCTACCGGTGCCCGACTAGTTTCATTGTTTGATTGTTCTTTCCTAGGAACTATAATCATACAAATATTCTTCATTTACTTTTTTCTCTTTCTACTGCTTTTTCTCTGACCCTGTGTTTTTCTCTCTCCTCCCTTTCTTCCTCCCTCCTATTTTCCACCTCTTCCTTCTTTTTCTCCCAATACTGGAGATTGAACCCAGGACCTTGTACATGCTAGGCAATTGCTGTACTACTTGATGCACTACTTGATGGACAGTCGTGGAGCTTGAACTTTGGGCCTGGGCGCTGTCCCTCAGCTCTTTAGCTCAAGGCCAGTGCTCTCTACCACTTGAGCCACAGTGCCACTTCTGGCTTTTTCTGCTTATGTGGTGCTGAGGAATAGAACCCAGGGCCTCATGCATGCAAGGCAAGCACTCTACCACTGAGGCACCTTCCCAGCCCAAGCTCTTTTGATTTTATTTTATTTCTAAAATAGGGTCTCACTGACTTTGTCTAGGCTGGCTGCAAATTGATGATCTTTTTCCCTTTGCCTTCTAAGTAGCTGGAATTACATGAGATATGTCACCGTGTCTGGCTCTTTTTTCACCCCCAATACTGAGGTTCGAACTTAGGACCTGTGCTTGCTAGGCTAGCACATTACCACTTGTGCCATGCTTTTAGGCCTGTTTTCTTGCTGGTTATTTTTGAGATAGGGCCTCATGAACATTTCTGCCCAGGCTGACTTCCTTTTGATTAAGCCTCCTAAACAGCTAGGATGATTACAGGCATGAGCCACTAGTGCCCACCTTGATAAGTCAAGAAGAAAGAGGAATTGAGTATTGGATCTGGATTTTATTAGTATCTTTGCTTGAACAGTTTGGTGTAGTAGCAGGGGTGATGATGAAAAGCTGTATTACCAAAGGGTCTAGCAAGAATGAGAGGAAAAAAACTGAAGTTAATGATTGTAGCACACAGGCAGCCTTTTGAAGAATGTAGCTGTTAAAGGAACATATATATAGAGTGATAGCCTCATAGGATTGCAGACATGAGCCATTGGTTCCCAGAGATGTTATTTGCTTTAGCAGAAGATTGGAAGCAAGATTGGGGATGTAGCTCAGTGGTATAACATTTTCATAGCATGCGTGAGGCCCTGGATTCCTGCTCAGCAATGCAAAAAAATCAGAAGCAAACTAAATGTTCAATACTGCTTAATCAAGTTTTCAATGTATTTATCTGGTGAATAATTAGTCACCAATTGGGTATTATACTTAGGATTTGTATAATTGTATAAATCACCTAGCAATTTAGAAAAGAGTATTCTGTGATATTAGATTGTGGTTACATGAAATGTTGATGTATATGGCAAAATGAGAGGGTAGCAATTGTTGTATCAGATTAATTCTGGATAATTAAATTTTCCTCTTTCTGGAATACTTATTTAGCAGTTGTTATGTGCCACATACTAATGAAGTTTTTTCATAGTTTAACACAGAAGTCATCAAAGTGTATTAGGCTGGGCAGACCTATTTTTCTTTAGCTTTTGAGCTAAAATGGTTTTTAAATTTTAAATTTTATTTTTCTATTTAAGAATAGCATATTTAACCCAGTATACCCAAAATAATAATTTTAATATGTAACGATCCTAAGAATATAGTAATGATCGTGGATGGAGATAGGAGGGATAGAATGGGATAGAATGAGGGAACAGATGACACTGTACAAAAGGAAATGTACTTCTTACCTGACTCATGTAAAGGTAACCCCACTGTATATTACCTCTATAGTAACAATAAAGTAAATTTAAAAAAGGAATCATGAGCACTGTTAGGCACTCACACAAAAAAGAATATATTAATGCAATATTTTATAATATTTTGATCATGTCTTTTAAATTTGATATGTGTTACACTTAAATCATATTTTGAAGAGGTCTAATCATGTTTGAATTTTTTTTGCAAGTCCTGGGACTTGAATTCAGGGCCTACACATTGTCCCTGAGAGTCTTTTTCTCAAGGCTAGTGCTCTACCATGTGAGCCACAGCACCACTTTTGCCTTTTTCTGAGTAGTTTAATGGAGATAATAGTCCCACAGGCTTTTCTGCTCTGACTTACTTTGAACTTTGATCCTCAGATCTCAGCCTTCTGAGTAGCTAGGATTACAGGTGTGAGGCACCTGCGCCCAGCATGTTTTTATGTTTTAAGGAGTTATTTTACAAAAACAGAAGTAACAAATTAGAGAAAGATCATATATAGCTGCAAAACCGAAAATAGTATGTGACCCTTTACAGAGGATGTTTGCTGGTTTCTGATTTAATTTATTTTATCCTGACAACATTCCAGGAAGGTGGGTACTATTGTCATCATGCCCATTTTACACATTGGCAAACAGAAGTACAGAGGGAGTAAGCTCCTTGTGGTGATACTCACTATGTTTTAGAGCATCTTGAGGCTCTTTCTACAAACTTACTAATATTGTGTTTCTTTACAGTAGAAGAAGTGGATAGTGGCTTACATGTCAAAGGATGGCACGGTCACGATCAAGATCCCCAAGATGGAAACATAGGTAAATAATTCTTAGTTTTTAACTTGGCTACTATGCTATTCATTTTGATAATGCAATAACTAATCAATTAATTCTTCAATTGTTTTCAATTTATAATTCACATGACCAATTGTAATGAGGACAAGCTTCAGAATAAAGGAAACGATAAAGAAATAAATGATTTTAATTGGAAAGGTATCTCAGAATTCATTTTGTTTCCATTTTTGATGTCAGTTGTGGGACTTGAAGTCAGGGCCTGGGCACTGTCCCTGAGCTTTTGTGCTCAAGACTAGGACTCTGTCACTTTGAGCTACAGCTCTACTTCCAGTTTTCTGATGGTTAATTGGAGATTATACACTTTGCTGCCCAGGTTGGTTTTGAACCTCAATTCTCAGATCGCAATCTCCTCAGTAGTTAGAATTACAAGCGTGAGCCACTAGCATTTGGCCTGTTTCACTTTTTTGTATTAGGCTCTGCTGAGGGGCACCCGAGCCCCTTCCAGGCTTAAGGCTTGATTTCTATATTCCTTTTCTTTTTTAAAAAAAACAACTTTATTTATTTTTTTAATTTTTTTGGGTCCGGTCGTGGGGCCTGAACTCTGGGCCTGGGCGCTGTCCCTCAGCTCTTCAGCTCAAGGCTAGCGCTCTACCACTTGAGCCACAGCACCACTTCCGGCTTTTTTTTTCTTTTTGCTTATGTGGTGCTGAGGAATCGAACCCAGGGCCTCAGGCATGCAAGGCAAGCGCTCTACCACTGAGCCACCTTCCCAGCCCTCTATATTCCTTTTTGGATTTATTTGTCAAGAGCTATAAAGGTCTGATATTTTACCCTGCTTGCAAGCATTGGCCTTCCACAAGACACCCATGAATTAGATCTGATGAAGACATTTATTACCCACAGGATAGCAAGCTACTTGAATTTCATGTTCTTGAAGCTCCCAGGTCTTTGAAGGGTTAGTACTGCACAGGAGCTGCCTGAGTAGATGATACAAAGTTGTAGGGTAACATTCTAGGCAGTGAGATAATGAAATAGCTGAGGAACTTGAATTCCCCAGAAAGAGCTGCTGACAAACCCTCCCAGTTTTTACCTAGGATGAGGCACTATCTTGTTTTCCTGAGTAGCAAACAAATCAGTCCTCTATTCCTAAGGGAGACTCTATTTCCAAGGTTGTTTGCTTTGGAACAAAAGCTGGCAGTGTCTCTACTCACAAGGCATGCAGAACTCAAGAGACTGTGGAGAATTGTTTCCCAATAGACTCCTTGGGTCGCTTTTCATCTCTTTAGGGGAATTGAAAATGATAGTAACCATCCCAGCTATTGTCTGTAGAAAAAAGTGGGTGCTAGACAAGAAAGTATATTCTATGGTCCTTGGGCCTGAACTTCCAGGCCGTGGTACTGTCCCTGGGCTTATTTGTTCAAGGCTGGTACTCTACTGCTTGAACCACAGCTCCACTTTTGGCTTTTCTGGTAGTTAATTGGAGAACAGAGTCTCATAAACTTTCCTGCTCATGCTGGCTTTGAAGTGTGATTTCAGATCTCAGCTTCCTGAGTAGATAGGATTACAGATGTGAGCCACTGGTGCCCTGCCTCAAAAGAGTTTTTTGTTTTGTTTTGTTTTCATTTTTGGTAATGGAGCTTGAACTCTGGACCTGAGCGCTGTCCCTGAACCTCTTAAGCCCAAGGCAAGTGCTTTACCACTTGAGCCACAGTGGCCACTTCTAGTTTTCTGGTAGTTAATTGGAGATAAGAGTCTCACTGACGTTCCTATCTGGGCTGGTTTTGAACTGTGATACTCAGATCTCAATCTCCTGAGTCCCTAGGATTTAGGCAAGAGCCACCAGCACCTGGCTTTTAAAAGAGTTTTTAATATGAAGTAAGGATTAAACTTAGTTCTTGAGTATTTCATTCAGTCTCAAAGATTTCTACCTCTGTCAGCTTTTTCCCTTAGTAGTGAGAGAGATGAAATTTTCTAGCCTCTAGTCAAGCTATAGTTGCTTTCCATCCTGAGATGAAATGTGGCCAGCTGGATGGCAGAGTTGTTTCATTTTCCATTTTCCTTTCTTTCCCCTTTCCTTCTTTTCCCTCTTCTCCCTGTCCTCCCTGTCCTCCCTATTCCTCCCTATGCCTCTCTATTCTTCCCTCCCTTCCCCTTCCTCCTCTCCCCTTCTTCTTTCTCCCTTTTACCAGAGTTTGAACTCTAGGCTTTGTAGTCTAACTCAGCTTTCTTGCCCAAAGCTGGAATTCTACCCCTTAAACCATGCTTCCAGTTGGAGTTTCTTTTTTTGCCAGTCCTGGGGCTTGAACTCAGGCCTAAGCACTGTCCTTGAGCTCCTTTTGCTCAAGGCTAGCACTCTATGACTTGAGCCACAGTGCCACTTCTGGCTTTTTCTGCTTATTTGGTACTGAGGAATCGAACCCAGGGCTTCATGTATGCAAGGGAAGCCCTCTACCACTAAGCCACATTCCCAGCCCCGAGTTTCTTTCTTTTAAAACAATTATTAGCCAGGTACCGGTGGCTCATACCTGTAATCCTAGCTACTCAGGAGGCTAAGATCTGAGGATCATGGTTCAAAGCCAGCCTGGGCAGGAATGTCCATGAGGCTCTGGTCTCCAATTAACCATCAGAAAACTGGAAGTGGCGCTGTGGCTCAAGTGGTAGAGAGCACTTGCCTTTAGCTGAAATGCTAAGGGACAGTGCCCAAGCCCCCCATGACCAACAAAATAAAACAATTATTGGTATAAATTAATTGTGCAAAGGAGTTTCATTATGATATTTCCATATATTCATATAATGTATATTTATAAAACTTACATGCATATAATGTATATGTATGACCCAGTGAGTACCTGAGGAAAGTAGATTTTCCTCCTTTCTTGTATAGATGACACAGATTTGTCACTGAAAGAGATCCAGTCACATTTGCTCCAACTCCATGGCAGCTTCTAGAGAGGGCGATACAAACTTCAAGAATAGCTTTCTTGTTGATTAGAATATATCAAAACCTTAGGGAGGAGTTTAAGAAATTGGAAACGTCTTTGGACACCAAAGTAAAGCCTTATTGTTTTCCTGACAGTGGCACTCCTCTATAATCTGTAAGTTTGGATAACCCAAATGAGTTTCCCTAGATAAGAGCCTCCATCCTCAGTGAGAATACAAGGCTTTGTGTTTGCAATGCTGAGGTACCAGTATGTGCATACTGAAGGGATGTGCTATCTCTTAGGGCTACATTTAAAGCTCTATTTGAATAGCACATCTTGAAGTTGATGTGTGAGGGAGGAGAAAGTAAAACAACTTACCTGTGCTACAAATATTTATGGACAAACCAGGCCTAAAAGTGTTACAATTCTCTTCCCCTCCTCTTGCTACCTGATGTGCGTGTTTCTTTTTTTTGGGGGGGGGGCCTGGTCGTGGGGCCTGAACTCTGGGCCTGGGAACTGTCCTCAGCTCTTCAGCTCAAGGTTAGTGCTTTACCACTTGAGCCACAGTGCCACTTCTGGCTTTTTTTCTTTTTGCTTATGTGGTGCTGAGGAATCGAACCCAGGCCCTCATGCATGCAAGGCAAGCGCTCTACCACTGAGCCACCTTCCCAGCCCGTGTTTCATTTTTTTCTCTTCTTTTCCCTCCTTTTTTTGTGCTGGTATTGGGGTTTAAACTCAGGGCTTTATGGTCTCAGTTGGCTTTTTTGCTAAGGCTGTCACTCTACCACTTGAGCCCCACAGTTCTTCTGGCTTTTTGCTGGTTAATTGGAGATATGAGTCTAATGAATTTGTCTGCCCAGCCTGACTTTGAGCCAGGATCCTCAGATCTCAGCCTCCTAAATAGCTAAGGTTATAGGTGTCAGCCACTGGTGCCCAGCACATGTATATTTCTTTTTCTTTTTTTTTTTTTTGCCGGTTGTGGGGTCTGAACTCTGGGCCTGGGTGCTGTCCCTCAGCTCTTCAGCTCAAGGCTAGCACTCTACCACTTGAGCCACAGCACCACTTCTGGCTTTTTCTGCTTATGTGGTGCTGAGGAATCGAATCCAGGGCCTCATGCATGCAAGGCAAGCGCTCTACCACTGAGCCACCTTCCCAGCCCACTATTTCTTTTTTCTTTTTTTTTTCTTTGATTTGTGAAGATACTGTACAGAGGGGTTACAATTACATGGGCAGGATAATGCGTACATTTCTTACCAAGCATTGCAGCCTCCTCCTTTTATTTCTTTTTTCTTGATACAAGAGAATAGGAAGAGAATAGACAATCAGTTGAGGAAATTATTGAACCACTCTTTGGCCCCAGTTTGGATTGTGGTCTATTGAATATTAGAATGTAATTTAATTTTAGAGTTTCTATTCAGTCTTCTTTTTTAGATTTTATTTGTCAGTTATGGGGCTTGAACTCTGGTCCTGAATACTGTCCCTCAGCTCTTCAGCTCAAGGCTAGTGCCCTACCACTTGAGCCACAGCGCCACTTCCGGTTTTCTGGCAGTTTATTGGAGATAAGAGTCTCACAGACTTTCCTGCCTGGACTGGCTTTGAATCATGATCCTCAGATCCTAGCCTCCTGAGTAGCTAAGATTACAGGCCTGAGCTACCAGCGCCCGGCCCTATTCAGTCTTCTTGACACTCTTCTATGTGCTTTTGTTCTTCGTGTTGTTGTTGTTAATTGTTGGCCTTGAATTCAGGAGCTGAGCGCTGTCCCTGAAGTTTCTTGCTCAAGGCTCATGCTCTGGCACTTTGAGCCACAGCTCAATTTCTGGTTTTCTGGTGGTTAATTGGAAATAAAACCTTTGTGGGCTTCTCTGTTGCCTTCGTAACATTGTGCTTAGGTCTCAACCTCATGAGTAGCTAGGATTACAGGCCTGAGCCACCAGTGCCTTGCTCTACGTGTTTCATGTGAACCTATTTCTATTTGTTCTTTTACTTGACTAGTGAACATAATATGAACTTTCCTCAGTGGCCCTTTTGTTGAAGTCCCTGCATCTGCTTTTCTATAGAATGTATCCAGAATAGATCCTGCTATATAGGACAGGTATATTCAATGTGCATATGGAGTTCATTAGTTCAGATGGAAAGAGTATGCTTGTTGACTAAAGTAATATCAGTATCAGACCTTCAAATGTACAGTTCAGAATGCACAGAATAGCAAATTTGTGGATTTAGTTCCCGTGGGAGAAGCAAAGGAAAGGTCTATGATTTAGGGAGATCATATTAAGACAAATGTAGTTTATTGTTGAAAAATGGACTTAACTCCTCTGTGTTTGTTTGTGTAGGTCTTTATCACCGCGACCTAGCAACGTTGAGTACCACAAGCAAAGACATTGTCATGGGCATTATAACTGTGACTATAGAAAAGATACGAAAAGACCTATTGCTTGGAGAATGGACAACGAGAAACATGGACAGAGTAAATCAAGGAATCTCTCTCGTGGACGTCTTTATTACCAGCCATATGAACATAGACCACCTACCCCAAACATAAGGAACTCTTTAGAAAATGTTCACACACATAAGCCTCACCGAGTATACTCAGTTGGAAGAGGGGATGGTAACAGAAGATCTCAGTACTTGCCCACACACTCAGAGGGTGCACCCTACATAGAGCATGAGAGGAATTGTTATCCCCAGAAAATGCAAGGAAGGTATACTTCTGATGACCACAGAGTTAGAGAAAGTGGGAGAGGAGGGAAACCACCTGAGAGGCCAATAGCAGATTCCCTTAGATTAGAAGGAAAGTGGCATGAAGATGAATTGCGACACAAGAGGACACAAGAAGAAAGATATTCCAAGTCACCCCGAAGAGGCTCACAAGACTTTGACGCAAGGAGCTCTTTTCCGAAGAGGTATAAGAAAACATTAAACCTGGGTAATTTGATATAAAGCCTCAAGTGAAAAAAATCTGTTTACTTTATGGTTGAAGATAACCACCTTGAAAAGCTTTTGTCTCAAAAGATAAAAAGCAGTGTAATTTAGTTATGGTCTACTGGTAGTAGTAAAATATTTCTCTTTTGAGTAGATCGTGTTGATGGCTAGAATATTTTTAAAGGTGTTTTCCTCTTTAACTACCTTGTACTTCTATGAATTGGCTTGAGGGATTATAGATTATCTTGCCACTGCGCTCTACATTTAAAGCCATTCTTCCCAACATTCTACACGTGTAAATTCTCACTTTCTTCTCTGTAGTGCAAGTATAAACTGCTTTATGTCAACACAGGTATCCTGAGGATCGTGATTTTGGAAAACATGGACACACATCAAAAAGATCTAAAGACATGGTGAAGTACGAAAACAGAGAGCCTGCCAGAATCCCAAAGTGGAAGCCCAAACATTCTCTTCCATCTCATCAAGAAAAGACAGATCAGTGGAACTTTGGACTCCAAACTCACCGATATTCTGGGAAGGAATACCCAGAGACCAGTTCATCAACCAAAGTATCTTATGACTATCGACACAAACATCATAAGCCCTCAGATGACCACCAGGACTTTTCTGATGGAAGAACTCAGAAGTACTTGAAAGAAGAAGTTAGAAAATACAATTCTCAAAAAGGCTCTGTAAATAGAGAGTCAGACTGTTTAAATGCAAGAGGGAGAGAGAATGAAGATAAACAAGTCAAAGAATCTCTTAAATCATCTAAGAAAGGACACATTTCCAGTAGTCATTCAAGTAAAAGTGAAATGGATTTGAAGTCTTATAATGACAAACAGAAGAGAAAAATAAGAAAAGATGAGGATGGCAGAAAAGAAAACAACTTTTCTGGTAGCCAACCCGATACAAGTAAACTTGCTGATGAGAAACCATCATCTGTTAATTTTAAGAAGCAATTGCTTACAGTTAAATTAAATGTGAAGACAGCTGTAGACACATCCAGGTATTATCTTTGTTTTTTTTTCTTTATGATATTTAATGTTTCTGCTACCTTTATTTTAGCTTTAAAAATAGAATTTGTAGTGTTGTTTATAGAGTCCATTGTTGGTATAGAGAGCACCTGAATTTTTCTCCCATACCTTAAAATGAGGATAAATCCTGTAGTTGTAATAGGACTCATATCTGCTTATTTGCGAAGCCTATATTCAGATCAGTCTGAGTACCGGGCATTCCATGGAGTTAGTTGTTCCTCTTCATGAACACCTACATTTATTTTTTGTGCTGGTACTGAGGCTTGAACTCAGAGTCTGGGCACTGTCCAGACTCTGTTTTAGCTGTTTTGCTCAGGGCTGGGATTCTACTACTTGAGCCACAGATTTACCTCTGGTTTTTGCTTGTAAATTAGGGATAAGACTCTCACTGACTTTTCTGCTAGGCCTGACTTTGAACTACAATCTCCCTAGCTCACCCTCTTGAGTAACTAAGATTACAGGTATGAGGTACTGGCACACATGCATTTTTATGCTGCCAGATTTTTCTTATCCAGGGATAGGCTAGGTAAAATTTAGGTCTTACTCCTTGCAGTTTTTCAGCGCTTGTGTTCCCTGTTGTGTGACATTCATAAGATTTTTGAGCAGGTCCTAGTTTTATAGAGAAAAGCGAGATCCTAAGAAATGAAGTGATTTGGCTATGTCAGTGGCTGGATCTCAAACCATGTGTCTCCTTGTGACTCCAAGATGCAGGTGACTTAATGTGATTCCTATTGCCATCTTACAATGACTGGTTTTAATTGACAGATTCTCCCAGGTAGAAGCAATTGGACTCTACTCTGGGAGTATGCTTATTTAGAAGACTTTGCTTTATCTCTTAATTACTTTTCTTTTTTGGTACTGGGACTTGAACTCCGGCTTCATGCTCTTGCTCAGTATTTTTGCTAATGGCTGGTGCTCTGCCACTTGAGCCTTGCTTCCAGTTCAGCATTTTGCTGGATGTTTTGGAAATAGAGTCTCATGGACTTTTCTGCCTGGGCTGGCTTTGAACTGCAGTTCTAGATCTCAACCCTCAGGGTATGTGGAATTATAGGAATGAGCCACTGTCACTCAGTTTCTTCTTTATCTCCTTATCTTCATTTTTTAATTATCTTCTTCCTTATTCTTCCTTGTCATCTTTTTTCATCTTCTGCCTCCCACTCCACTCTCCCCTACTTGGCCTTCCCCACCTCCTCCTTCTGACTATTGTTGTAATTTATACTTTTCTAAGCAAACTCACATTTTATTCTATTATAAATATTACCTTCTTATGGATTCTGAGAATAATGAGGTAGTATATAGTTGGCTACATCAGCTACATCTTTCCATTAGCTAATGCACTAGTAGTATATCAATGAAAACGAAAATAATTTGATGCACCCATATTCACACTTGACTCCTATTTGTATTTGAATCAAAACCATGAAATAAAGCCAAAAGATTAAGATGGGAGAGTGTGTGGGGGTGGATAAGCTCAAGTTTTTTTTATACTTTTATTAATGTACATTATCATAATATAGGAGGAGTTTCATTGTGATATTTCCATACATGTGTGTAATGTATCCCAATTAAACTCACCTCCTTTGTCACTTTCTCTTCCACTCCTCCCTTCTTGAGAGAATTTCAACAGGCATTATTGTTCTTTTCATACATGTAAGTAAACTACTCAAGCATATTCATCCTCATTCATTCTTTTGGGTTTTTTTTATTTGTGCAAAGGGGTTTCATCATGGTATTTTAGATGTGCATATATATATATATATATATATAGTGTGTGTGTGTGTGTGTGTGCACGTGCGCGTGTGCACGTGCACACGTGCACACGTGCTGGTCCTAAGGCTCAAACTCATGGCCTGGGCGCTGTCCCTGACCTATTTTGCTCAGGGCTAACATTCTGTTACTTGAGTCACAGCTCCTTGTTGGGTAGTTTTGGTGCTTAATTGGAGATAAGAGTCTCACAGGCTTTCTTGCCTGGGCTAGTTTTGAAACAAGTGGTTTTGATCCTCAGTAACAAGGCAAGTACTCTAGTACTGACCCACCTTCCCAGCCCCTGTTCCTCTTCTTAAAGTTAGATCAATACTCCTGTATGATGTTCTTTTGTGCATTATACTTGCAGATAATATTTTAAAACATATATTTGTATATTTATATGTGTGAAAAGAAATTAGTAAATTGTAGCACTATTAAAGATTATTAGTGCCAGGCGTCAGTGGCTCATGCCTGTAATCCTAGATACTCAGGAGGCTGAGATCTGAGGATCACGGTTCAAAGCCAGCCCAGGCAAGAAAGTCCATGAGACTTATCTCCAATTGACCACCAGAAAACCGGAAGTGGTGCTGTGGCTCAAGTGGTAGAGCACTGGCCTTGAGCTGAAGAGCTCAGGGACAGAGCCCAGGCCCAGAGTTCAAGCCCCACAACCAACAACAACAACAAAAAGAATATTAGTAGTGCCAATTTTGAAAGGTTTTAGTTTAATAGGTTTCATATAAGATACCATACTGTTAATTTTATGATTTGATAGAAATGGGAGTTTGATCATGTGTCACAAAAATGAGTTTCCCCAAATCGACTTTGGTTTTGAATTTCTAAGCTACAATTTTAGAAAATGTCATGCTCTCACTGTGGCTTGGCTGTGTATGTGATAGGATGCCTGAGCAGAGCTTGCAGGATGACTTGTGTAATGGAGAGCCTTGCTGCAGTCCTCCTTATCCAAAGACCCAAGAGCAAATAACTGAACAACTATATGCATCTTTTCAGTTTGATCAAGTATCATAGTCAACAAGTCTTTCTCTTTGATTATAATTATTTATTGATGAATGAAGTGCAGATTTGATTATATATGAATGTATAAAACAAAAGTAGCTGACATCCTCAGTAGAATTGTGTTTTCAACTATTAATGTACACTAGAATTTTCTTTTCTAGAAAACATTAAATAATCATGGAATACAGAGAGAAATGTACTTGTTTATTTAGACAGTTTATCTACTTTTTTTGAAAGACTAGCCAAGACTGGCTAACTTTTTGCATTGGTTTGCTTAGCTCTGGTCAAATGTTGATATTTGTTTTTCCAGTTATTAGTATGGTTGAAAACAAACTTATCACCTAGTGACTTAGAGTTCGAGTTGTATCTAGAACTGCAGTAGATAGATGCTCAAATGTTCGCTGCATAGACAGTACTTCTGTTTACAAAGACTTTTTTTCTAGTGACTCACTCTGTCAGAAACCTCATTTTTGAAAGTAGAAAGTACATATGAGTCATAATTAGATATGTTTCAGAATATGAGTTAGGGAATCACAATATGAAATTTTCAACTAAGCTTGTTATACAAAACATGAACTGTTGTGCACATCTGTAAGTCTTGAGGTAGATGAAGGAAGGTATTGCTTTATTGTTGGTAGGTCAGCCAAGACTGATCCTAGGCTAGATAGGAAGTGGAATGAAGGAGGAGAGAAGAAGGGGAAGAAGGTGGAAAGGAGAAGTCTATTGCTATTTTCAATAGCAGAATAAGCTAGAGCTGATGCTTTCATTTCTTGAGATGCTGATACAAGACACCTAGTATAAGAAAGGGGACTGAACATGTCAACTACATTTGTCTCAGTCCTTTCTGGCCATTGTAAGGAGATACAAATAAGACCTCCCTGAAAGAGGAAAAAGATCTCCCTACCTCCATCAGGTCTTTCTCCATTCTGAGAGGAGATTAAGTGGTGATGGACCTCAGAGGACATCAGAGTCTTGACACAAAGGAAATGGATGCTTCAAGGTAGAGAACAATGCGAAAACCCATAACTAGGATTAAAGGAAGGAAGCTTAATCACAAATTCACTTTTGATGGGCACTGTTCAGCTAGAGAGGAAATAATAGGTGGAGATTTTTTTTATATCAAACACTTTCCCATCCATTAATATTGATCATTACAGGTGAAGTTTACACACCTAGATTTTTTTTGTTCAGATATTGCCTTGCTAACTTTTTGCCAGGACTGATCTTGAAGATTTATCTTCCTAATTTCCAGCCCCTGAGTAGCTGAGATTATAGGCATGAGTCCTTGTGCCTGGCTATATGTTTGTATTTTGACTGTGATCTGTCATATAAGGAATTTTCTGCTTGTTGATACCATGTGGGCATTCAAAAATTGCTCAAAAATTTTTTCTGATTAGAGATACTCAACCTGTATTAGCTGATAGGAGAGGACAGGTGACTCAGTTTTCTTTTTTTCAGTTTTAATTAATTTTTTTTTTTTTGTCGGTCGTGGGGCTTGAACTCTGGGCCGGGGCGTTGTCCCTCAGCTCTTCAGCTCAAGGCGAGCGCTCTACCACTTGAGCTACAGCGCCACTTCCATAAAAAATTTTTTATTATAAAAGTGATGAACAGAAGGGTTGCAGTTATATAAGTCAGGTAATGAGTACATTTCTTTTTGGACAATATCACCCCTTCCCTAAGCAACTCAGTTTTGATTGCCAAAGGGTTATTGTCTCGGAGGTAGATTGAATAGGTGGTTGGACTGGCAAGGTCCATTGAAAGACTTTTGTTAAAAAGGTAATGAGAGCTGGGCATTGGTGGCTCACACCTATAATCCTGCCTACTCAGGAGGCTGAGATCTGAGGATTGCAGTTCAAAGCCAGCCTAGGCAGGAAAGTCTGCGAGACTCTGATCTCCAACAAACTATTCAGAAAAAGCCAGAAGTGGCGCTGTGACTCAAGTGGTAGTATACTAACCTTGAGTGAAAGAGCTCAGGGACAGAGCCCAGACCTTGAATTCAAGTCCCACAACTGACTAAAACAAAAAAAGGTAATGAGATACTGAATTAGAGGAGTAGTTGTCTCCATAACCATAGCTGAATGCATTCTTAGGAAGATAGAAACAAATAATTGAGGAAATACTTTATTAATTATAGGATGTTATATAAAATGTTAGTTACTATTTGGAAGGAAACAAAGGAAAACTTTAGATGGGCACAGTAGTATGCACCTGT